TATTTAGTAATAGATTGGTTTTTATGGGACAGAGAGTGTAGGTGAGAAGAAAGAAATCCTGTGAAATATCATTTTTTGCTCTTTTCTTCTTTCACTCTTCGTTCCTCTTTTGTAAACTGGCATCACCACCATGACACCACCCTTCACAGCGATCCACTCTATCCGTCACATAAAAAAAAATCAACATATAGTATTAGATGTGACATATTCTACTACTACGAATCTGGATATATCTTTGTCCAGATTCGTTATATTAGAATGTGTTACATCTAGTTTTAGATTTGTTTATTATGGGACAGAGTTTGTTTATTATGGGACGGAGAGAGTACCTCATTCAGTGGCGGATCCAGAAAATCGGTTCGTTGCTGTTATAACGTGTCTATCGATGTTATAGTATGCTAATTATATTTAGATTATGGTGTTATAATATATGGATAAGCATTTTTCTATAGGTTTTACCGAAAGTCGTCGGTGACACCGACACCGACGCTTTATACTGTAGATCCGCCACTGAACCTCATTGGCTGCCACGAATAGCTAGCAGGTGGTGGCGCCTCGGCCTCGCTGTTGCTGGCCATGGCCCAAGCTGGCGTCGCCCTGACCTACATGGGGTTGAGCAATGACGCCCACACGGCACGGTGGCAGGCATGCTCCTGCCGTGTCATCGTGTCCTTGTGCAACTGCCCTATCAATTCAATTGTCGTCCTATCCTAGACAGGCATCATCTCCGGTGTCACCGTCGCTCACGCGGCACTATCCTTCCCGCGGCCAGGAGCCCCTAGAACTCCAGTGGGTAAGGGTGTGTAGTGTGCGGTTGCATCGCTGCCATCTGCCAACGAGAGAGCCACTTCGCGGCGCACCATTATCGTTATTAAGTTGTATGAATCAGTCAGTTACACCTAAAAGCCTAAGCTGATAGAAAAAGATGGGCAATTCACTTTATACACTCCAACACTCCCCCTCACGTGAGACCCCCTCAAGTCTCAAGCGTGGAATATTGGAGTGGGCCCAGCCAGGATTCGAACTCGAGACCTCTGGCTCTGATACCATATTAAGTTGCATGCACCAGCCAATTACACCTAAAAGCCTAAACTGATAGGAAAAGGCGGGCAATTCACTTTATACACTCCAACAATCGCACACGCTCATTAAATGCCAGCGAACAATGTCGGCCACGACGAACGACGAAGCTGTGGACTCATTCTGTTTTGACGATTTTATCGGTTTATCATAGAAATTTAATCCTTCAAAAATTTTCCTATATGCATCATTTGTTTCATTTGAACGGATCCTATCAAATTCATAAGGATTATAATTTACTCTTACAAGCTAATTTCTAAAGAATAAAGTGCATGTGACATCCTAATTCTTTACTTTTTCCTGTTTTACTTGTAGATCCTATGAACTGAATAAGCCCTACTCCGTATGTCGATTATGGAAAAGAAAAGTATCTGCATAGGATAATTGGGGATTTGAACTAGATTGATCATGTTGACAAAAAAAATCAACATGGAGTTGCTTAATGTTAGGCCATTCACAGTGTGTGTGCGTGGCGTTCGGCCCCGACCATTTATGTCGGAGATTCCACGTCACGCACGTGTCCGTGCTTCCAACCTGAAGACCACGGAGCCAAACAAAGACACGGGTTCTTTGTCAGAAATTGCGTAGACATATGTCAGGGCGGAGCTGAGGGATGAGGCGAGCAACGCGTTGGGAGAGGCGTGGCCCTGTGCGACGCCCCCATATCTCGTGCAAGGCAGCAGCGGTCACTAGCGAGGCCACCACCACGAGATGCGTCGCCGCCCCCAAAGCGGATCTGGCGAGCTCGACAAGGCGGTGGTGGTTGGGGGAGGAGAAGGGAGGATAGCAGTGCCTAACCTCGTTTTCGTCCCCGTGCAGCGTCGCCGAGCCCGTGGTCGTCTCCGCTCCAAACCACATAGCAGCTTGACATTGAGGGAGAGGGGAGCTTGTCGGTGTCCGGCCAAGGAAGGAAGGCCGCTAGTTGGAGGAGGAGAGGAATGGGGGTCGCTGCCAAGCTCCAGCCATCCCCCGCTCCCGCATCGTCGAGCTTTTCATCGCACTGGCTAGGGGAGGACCCATGACTACTAAAATTTCAAGGGTTGAATTATAAAATCAAAGCCACTATTAAAACCACTTGCACTGTAAGAAAAATAAATTTTGGACCCTTGACTCTAGCCTACGTGACACTTTGAGGGATTGGATGCACTGTGAATGCTCTTAGGGCCCACTGAGAAAACCGATCCAACGCTTGGGCATCTCGGTCCTTTTGAATTGCTTCTCTCTCCAAATAGGCAGGAAATAATAAAATAATCGTTTTCGTGTCTTCTACTTCCTCCGTCCTAAAAAACCAACCTAGACATGGATGTGACACTGCATAGTACAACGAATCAGTCCAGATTTGTTGTACTATGTAGCGTTACATCTGTGTCTAGTTTGGATTTTTTAGACGGAGAGTAGTAAATTAACAAAAATTTAAAATATCTTATTTTCATGATATCTAACAGCAAAAATCACCAATCTTACTACTATGTTCTATAACATTTTTTTCCCCGTAAAACAACGAGTCCTACGGCAGTTGGAGAGATATTTCAGCAGCAGAGGATCCACAGGATTCAGGCGTCGGCGGCGGCGGGCGGCACCTCGTTAGTAGCTGTCTCATCACACCGACAATCTCAGCAGCACGACGTGATGTCCACTCGCTCTCTCGCCGACGCCTGACGGCCAGACGTACTAGTAGTACGTTACATGCTGGAACATGCATCATACAGGATGTGTGTGCTCGGCGCTGTCCTCACATGTCACATGGTGTGTGCCTTGTCGATCTGCCCGCTGCTTCCATCTCTCTCAATCCTCTTCGCCGAGGCGACCTTCACACTGTACACACACGCACAGACAGCTGCTGAGTGTAGTAGCTTCCACAAGCTCGCCAAAACGTCGTGCATCCTGAATTTCAGTGGAATTTCAGAACCTCGATTCATGTGCTTCCTCAGTCTCGTAATATAGCAAGTTAAGGACTGAATATAAGTGCAACGTATCTGCACAATAAGCATGTCTAGATACATTATACTATAAATTGTCTTATTCGGTATTTTCTCCGTTTTAGGTTATAAGACTTTCTAGCATTGCCTATATTTATATAGATGTTAATTAATCTATGCACACATATATATATATCTAGATTTATTAACATATATATGAATATAGGCAATGCTATAAAGTCTTATAATATGAAACGGAGGAAGTACTAGATTGTTATATTATGAGATGGAAGGAGTAGTAGTTTTTGGACTTTGATTCATGTAATTTTGGAGGAGCAAAATGAATTTCAGAACTTGTTTGGCGGAGTCTGCTGCCTGTATTGTGAGGGCTAAGGAAAACCATATGCTTCAGGTCTCATCTACTCGCTCCGTCTCAGAATGTAAGCAATAACACATATTGTTTATATTTTGAGACGGAGGGAGCAGTATATTTGGATACATAAAAGAGCTTGTTTGTCAAAAAATTAGGGAATTTTTAATTATGTCTGCTGATTGAGACAACTTTGAAGTTGCCTCAATTGTGTTTGCCTTAAGGTACATAAATATGGAGACAGGCAAAATAAATTCCATGCTAATGTAGGGGAGTATTAATAATGTACTCCAGCAAACTTAATATAATCAGTCCAACAAACTACTAAAATAATCAGTCTCCATGATTGAGATTTCGGACCTGTACATTGTGGTTAAGGAACAGATGAGTACTAGATATTTCTGGGGGTGATTATTCAGCTCGTGTTAATCCACCGTCTGTCACATCCAGCTGACAAAAATATTACTCCCTCCGTATAATTTTGATAGTTATATTTTTAAATCTGAAAATTTTATTTTTGATAGGCATATTTCAATCCAACAACCTATCATCTTAATAATTTTCTCGAATTTAATGCATGACTCTCCATTCTTCCACACATGATTGGCTACATGGCTTTGAGAAATGTAAATATTAATAAATCGCTTGTTTACGAGAAATGACTAGTAGTATGATTAAATGAATGATAAGTAGAGCTACTTATCCTTGGTTTGTGTGTCAAGATGAAATATGACTATCAAAAGTAGATGGAGTGAGTAATAATTTAACCCTTTTAGAAAACAAGAAATGGAAACTTGAAAAGAATCATTCTTATTCTCAAAGAATAAGGGGTAAGGGGATTGATACCGAGAAAGATTTCTTTTTATTATAAGACGTGATTTGATCCGCATATGTTTGGTAAAAGAACAATCTTCTCCTTTAATCATAAATGGAAAGTGTTCAATTAGAACATGAAAACGTGACTCAATTGGTCTTAGTTAGTCTTCGGGACGGAGTGGAAGAAGGGCGGAGACTCTCGAACGAGAAAAAGGATCCCTTCGAAAGAATTGAACGAGGAGCCGTATGAGGTGAAAATCTCATGTGCGGTTCTGTAGAGGGGCAGGAATGGTGACTTATCTATCAATTTTTCCACTATCAACCTTAAAAAACCCAACTCTGCCTTACGTAAAGTTGTCAGACTATGATTAACCTCTGAATTTGGAATCATTTATTTTGCGAATAAACCGCGGCTAAACTTATTTAAAAATAAACCAAAACATCAGCGCCAAATCATCTCTGTGCCAAGTTATCTAACGCTGGATGTCAACATTAACTTACTCCACAACCTCCCCACGAATTCAGTGCCAGTTCACTCGACGCTGAGATGACTACTTTCTAACACCATATGATTTAGCGTTAATATTTCAGTTCATTTTTAAATAAATTTTAGCCGCGGCTTATTTGCGAAATAAGCTTTCAAAAAGTGTCAAATTATCAATTTTGCTAGTAGCAGTAGTAAATTCAGCTTTGGCCATGTCCATATATGATGATGGCACCAACTACCGACTGAAGTACTGAACTTGACTTCACCATTTCTTCCAAGTCAGACTAAACAGTGAAGAACACGACAGCGAAAAACAGCTTGAAGAAAATTGTATACTCCAGGACCAGGAGGATGGATGAATTATGGTGCCAGTATCACATATGGTTCCTTCATATTGAAAGAGACAGTATTACAGATGCGGTTACACAACAACCTGAAAAAAAAAAAGAACAAGACAAACTGATAGAGCAAACTGCAGAGCTCTCTTGCAGTTTCAGCTGACTCAAAAAAATGAAAAAAGGATAAAACGCCGAAGATATCTGAACACTAAAACTCTGGCTGCTACACCGATATCACTAGCAACTTCGCAAGTCGATTTCAACCCTTTCATCATCTTCCCATCTTCTTCTTCTTCCATGGAGCAACCAGTCACTACTGATCAAAGACACATCAGGTAGGCGGCGGCGGCGCCGACAACGGCCGGCAATGGAGGTAGATAGCGAGAGAGAGACCCCCCTCTCATGGTCATCATCTTTATCTTCTTCCTCAGGAAGATGCCTTCTCATACTTGAGCGGCTTGACAACCTCCCATGTGAAGTCGGGATCCTCGCGGCCGAAATGGCCGTACGCCGCGGTCTTGATGAACCGGTTGCCGCCCCTCTTGAGGTCGAGGTTGATGGTCATCATCCCGGGCCTGAAATCGAAGTTCTCCTTGACGATCTTGAGGATCTCCTTGTCGGGGATCTTGCCGGTGCCGTAGGAGTCGACGAACACGGAGAGCGGCTCGGGGACGCCGATGGCGTACGACACCTGCACGATGCAGCGGCGGGCGAGGCCGCTGGCGACGATGCTCTTGGCGGCCTGCCTGGCGATGTAGGCGCCGCTCCGGTCGACCTTGGTCGGGTCCTTGCCGGAGAAGGCGCCGCCGCCGTGCGCGCCCCATCCGCCGTAGGTGTCGATGATGATCTTGCGGCCGGTGAGGCCGGCGTCGCCGTGGGGCCCGCCGATGACGAAGCGGCCCGAGGGGTTGAGGTGGAAGATGGTCTTCTCGTCGAGGTACTTGTCGGGGATGACCGGCTTGATGACGTGCTCCTTGAGGTCGGCGGCGATCTCGTCGTTGGTGACGGTCTCGTCGTGCTGGGTGGAGATGAGGACGGTGTGGACGCGGACGGGGACCATGGCGCCGGCGTCGTTGAGGTACTCAACGGTGACCTGGGTCTTGCCGTCGGGCCTGAGCCAGGCGCAGGTGCCGTTCTTGCGGACCTCGGTGAGGCGGGCGCCGAGCTTGGTGGCGAGGACGTGGCTGAGGGGCATCAGCTCGGGGGTCTCGTCGGTGGCGTAGCCGAACATGTGGCCCTGGTCGCCGGCGCCGATCTCCTCGGGGCGCTTGGTGAAGTGGCCGTGCACCCCCTGCGCGATGTCGGGCGACTGCTGCTCGATGTTGACGAGCACCTTGCAGCGGTCGGCGTCGAGGCCGACGTCGTCGGACACGAAGCCGATGCCGCGGCAGGTGTCGCGGACGATCTTCTCGTAGTCGACGGTGGCCTTGGTGGTGATCTCGCCGAACACCATCACCATGTTGGTCTTGGTGCACGTCTCGCACGCCACCTTGCTGTCGGGGTCCTGGGCGAGGCACGCGTCGAGCACCGCGTCCGACACCTGGTCGCACAGCTTGTCCGGGTGACCCTCGTTCACGGACTCGGAGGTGAAGAGGAACGTCTCCGCCGCCATTTCTATCTGCCCTCTGCATGCATCGGTTGCAAGCCATCAGAAAAAAAAATACTCGATTTTGTGCAGACAGTTTCTAAAGATGATCAATCCATTCATTCGTTGCAGCCAAGATGAGGACGAACTGGTGTATCCAAGAGAAAAAGAGTCGATTTTTGCACCTAAAATGATACTAGTACTAAGTGATTTTACTCCTACTTGCTGAAAGAAAGAGGAGAGCAAATTCGAATTCTCTATTGGTGTAGTAGACCACAGAACAAAAAAAGGAAAAAAAACAGAGAAAATTAATCACAAAACAGAGATCCATTCTTCAGATCTACTGCAGCCGACAGCTAAGTACTGACAAAATTTTGCAATTTAAAATTGGATCCACCAACGCTAGATCTAGCCTAGCCTGTTCTCCCCCATAAACCAAAAAAGATCGGACCCTTTTTTCTGCTAATCCAGAACTCCATACACGCACAATCAAAGATTAAACAAAAAAAGCAAGAATATCCCCCCAACCGCTTTCCCCTCCCACTTCCGCGACCGAAAAACGAAACAAACAAACAATCACTAACCCCTAGTCCCCAGATCTCCAATCCACCAAACCTCGCGCTCCTCAGATCGAAGAGCGCCCAACCCAGATCTACCCCCAAACCCAAACCCCAACAGAGAAAAAAAAATCCCCGAGAGGAGTGAGGATCTCACGAGCAAGAAGAAGACGAGGCGAGACGAGAGAGCTCACCTTCTTCGTCCGCCGCTGCGGCTTCTCGCCTTTATTCGGGGGGGATAAAGCGAGCGAACGAAGGAGCGAGACAGAGAGAAGGGGAGAGTCCGGCGTGTGTGATTCTGCACGGGGGTGGCCTCCGGAATGCGCTCGCGCCTCCTATTTATAGCGCGCGTCGGGTGCGGATCGGGAGGTAGGAGACGACGCGCGGGGGAGTGGAGTGGGGCCCACCCCACCGTGGGTGCGGGTAGGATTCGCGTGCGAAAAGTATTTCTCCCCGGGGGGTGAGCACGTGAGGACCGCACACACAGCCAGTGAACCGTCGCTGACCCCGCCCGAAACTTTTCTCACCCGCCGGACGGACAGACGCTGGGGAGGTGGGGCCCACGCCCCCGCGTCCACCAACCCCCCGTGGCCGTGGCCAGTGGCCACCAACCCCATGTTGGGTGGGGCCCACGCCCGCCTCACCAAACATCTCTCCACCTCCACTACTTTCTCATTTTGTTTTTCCGGATTTTAGTGTGTTTTTTTTTCTCTTGCTATAGAAAATTTTTTCTCCACATCACCAACCATTGCTTTTGATGATGTGAGCTATATTTTCTTTCTTGTTTTGAACTTTTTTTGGAAGGGAGTTCAAAGTTTTTATTTATTTTGTGGTGGTGGAGAGTTACTGAGGAATTAACTTTTGTTTTCCGTTTTCCTTTTCAGTCCACTTGTAGTTGGTGAAGTAGGAGCCATAAGCGAAGAGTACACTGTAGGCGTTACAAAGAAATTAATAAAGGGGTAAAGGAAACAGATTGCATAAGCATCTTTAGCATCAGAGTCAAAATCCAAATACTTACCGTATATCGTTTTAAAAATTGTGCATACAAATTAGTGACGTTCCTAGCAATGAATATCATGAAAATGGCATTTCGTCCATAATTGAGAAAATTGTTGTTGACTACATACCCTTCGTCCCAAAAGAAAATCAACTTTTAGAGACGAACCTAAATAGATGTTGTCTAGATTCGTTATCAGAAAAGAAAAATTTTGGACAGAGAGAGTATTTAATTATGGTTTTGTAAGATTTTTTTTTTCTATTTGAAAACTTCCAGTTGCATACAGAAGCTTTCAAAACGGTTTGGTTTGTAGTGAGAATTTTTTTTCCTAATTAAAAATTTCCAACTGCTTAGTGAAAGTTTCAAAAATGTTTGGTCAAGTGTAACGGATTTTCTTTCTTGACAAGGACTAGCTAGCTATTCGATGAAAAAATATTGTCCTTATTATCTAAATCTTATTATGTAATCACATTTTTCGGGAAACCTCTCTTTGTCACGGCTGCATCTAATTGGAAACAAGCTTGAAATTTTCAGTTTGTCTTTCTGATGAAGGATGGTTATAAGTTCGTTTTGTTTATTTTCCTCCTAAAAGGCGATGTACAACAGAATCATTCCCTAGCTTTTGTACTTGGTGCTTAGGCCCTGTTTAGATGGGACTAAAACTTTTAAGTCCCTATCACATCGGATGTTTGAAAATTAATTATAAATATTAAACGTAGACTATTAATAAAACCCATCCATAATCTTGGACTAATTTGCGAGACGAATCTAATGAGCCTAATTAATCCATGATTAGCCTATGTGATGCTACAGTAAACATTCTCTAATTATAGATTAATTAGGCTTAAAAAATTTGTCTTGTGAATTAGCTTTTATTTATGTAATTAGTTTTGTAAGTAGTCTATATTTAATACTCTAAATTAGTGTCTAAAGACAGGGACTAAAGTTAAGTCCCTGGATGTAAACACCACCTTAATCTTTTAATAAAATTATGAGTCTTAAAATATTGCTTATGAAAAAGAATGAGTGAATGTTGTTGTGTTATGTACGAATCTAGTTTGGCTTCCTTATCCAAACTTGTTCCAATGATTTGCGGTGTAAAAAATAAAATTGTAAGAATAAATTGTGCGAAAAATAAAATTTGTATTCATGTAAATATGTCAATATGGTTTCATTTGTTCGTAAAGGAACATGAGATTCACTTCCACACATTTATCCAATCACCTGTAAATCCGTGCAAAATGCTACTAGTAAAAGATTCCAAATTGACATTCTCCTCCGCAGCTTTCATGTTCATCTTTTGATGCCTAAAAAAAATGAGCTGAAGCTCAGCAACATGCACCCATGTTCAGAAGGACTGGCACAGGCATTACAAAATTAATCATGATGACACGGCAAAAAAAAAGCCTCAGATGATCTCTTCCCTAGACTCATATAGCCGTTAATTACATGGAATCTCAATCTGTCATGCAGCAGCTAGCTAGCATCAACCAAAACATCCTGATTAATCAAAGGTTAGAAAAGCGAAAAAAGCACGAAAAAAATTTGACAACTTGGAGTCTTGGACAGCATGCTTCGTGCAGAAAGCAATCAAGATCATGTTTCAGTTATTTTGTCTCCTTGTCTCTCTCTCTCTCTCTCTGTCTGCCTCTTCTCTTCCAAGAGCTATAGGTAGGCAGGCAGCTAGTAGAGGATATCGCCAGTGGGCAGCAAGATCCAGCCCTTCCTTCTCCTGAAACATCATGCTTCAGCTTGCCTTCTTTCCTTCAGTGCTTATTAAGCCACTGTTGGTTAAGTAATCCGGCTAATGTGGAGGACACGTCACCGTATGCCGGCGTACGTAACGGTGATGTGTCCTCCACATAAGTACTTTATGTCCGTATAAATAACCTTCCGTCTCTAATATTGTAGCACCGTTAAAAGATGATAATACTCCTTCCCTACAGTAGCACTGCCTTAGTCATAAGAGAGGAAGAGGAGAGTGCGCTTGGAGAAGCACATCCTTAAAAAAAACAACCTAGATGTGACATAACCAGATTCGTTATACTGTGTTATCACATCTTCATTTAGGTTGAGCTCTTTTGACGGAGAGAGTAGAAGATAAAGACATGATAGATATTTGAGTAGTAGAATACTACGTATTTCTTCATCCCATAAAAAATAAACCTAGCACAAGATGTGATATATTATAGTACTACCAATCTGGATAGAATTGTATTTTTTACTATGTTTGTTTTTCATGAGACCGAAGGAATAGTATGTAAAAGGAGGAAAAATAAAAAGAAAGGGTACCGATGCAAGTAAACTACTACCTCCATCTTACTCTTTTGGGATGAAGATATAATACTCCCTCCGTCTTGAAATATAAGGGATTTTGTGTGGATGTAACGCATCCTGGTACTACCACTAGTACATAAATGATTTTCCTATACGGGACTCACATTAGATTGTAGACGGACCATAAGTGGTCGCATCTGTAAAAATCGTGCTCCATTTTCGCATGCGGCTCTTTAAAATGACCATACGGAAAAATCAATTTTCGCAGGCGGGTCTTTTAACAGATCCGCATGTGAAAATAAATTTATTTTCGCGTGTGGACCTGTTAAGTGAACCGCACGCGAAAATAACCCACCCACCCTCAGCCACTCCCTCTCCCTCTCATCCTCCCATCTCTCCTCCCACTCCTCCCATCTCCCATCTCCCACTCCCTCTCCCCCCTCTCCCTCCCCCTCTACCCACTCCTGGCGACAGCGGCGGCCACGGCTAGGGCTGTGGCGGCGGCGGCATCGATGAGAGCGACGGCAGCGGCATCGGCATCGGCTAGGGTGGTGACGGCGGAGCGGATCCGTCGCCGGCCGCCGCAGTGAGGACGGATCCGTCACCGGCCACCGCGGGGAGGGCGGATCCGTCGCGGCGGACCTCGGGCAGGGCGCCGATGACGACGGCAGTGGCGGCAGCGGTCTCCTAGCCTCGGGCGTCTGGATCCGTCATCGCGACCGCGGGGACGACAGCGGCGGGCCTTGGGCAGGCCAGTCGCGGCGACGGCGGGATTAGGGTTCCAGGGCGGCTTTTGATTTTCTTTTTTTATTTTCTCGTGCGGGCGGCTTAAGTGGGTGCGTCACCCGCACGAAAAAAAATCAGATTTTCGCATACACTTCGTTCTAGACGGGCGGAAGATCCACACGGAAAAATCGTTATTATACTAGTGTGCGAATATGGACAGAGAGTATGTCCAGATTCGTATAACAAAATCATATTTTTGCAGACACTTCGTTCTAGTCAAGCGGAAAATCTGCACGTGAAAACCGCTTTTGACCACACGGAAAAATCGTTATTGTATTAGTGTGCGAATCTGGATAGAGAGTATGTCCAGATTTATAGTACTAGAATGTGTCACATTCACCCAAAATCTCTTATATTCTGCGATAGAGGGAGTAGTTCAAAACACATAATAGCGTGTTGGGGGATGACAAAGAACAAGTGTCAACGGTGAAAGCACATATCTCGAAGATTTTACGGCCTCATCTTTCGCTTATGTTTATACTTATCAGCTAAAATTTGAATTTTCAACATTAAATTTGAAGCTGATTTTGAAGTTTTTTTTCATTGAAGTTTATTTTCCAGCCTTTACTTTTAGATCGCCGAGAACACGCTTATAAAAATTTTATTCTCAAATTACTTTTTATTTACAAATATATCGTTCGTTTGGTGAATAAGCCAAACAATGTGGCCTTTAGACAGACGGAAAGTGATTGAGCCCTATTTTTGGTTAAAAAAATCAATTTCTAGAGATGAATATAGATAAATATCTATTCAGATTTATGTTCAGAAGAAATAATGTACATAAATATGGTGTGTATAGCCAAGCGATACCGAAAATGGCTCGGGCGATGTGATCATATATCCTAAGATACTATCAATTTGCCAGTTTATAAAACTTAATCTGTTGCCTGCCTGTTTGCTTCAAGGGCCACGATGACACACATAACGCATGCAGAGCCAGTTAGTACGTGTGTGCTACAGATAGTGACACCCAATCTCATCTCTTCCTCTCGTACTCCTACAACGGCTAATTCACGCGGAAGAAGAAAAAAAAAATCGAGTTAGGAAAGCACGAAATCCCCACCTGGACAAACAGTGTGTCCAGGTTCATCCTGGACCACGACGTAAATAGGAGTACAGTACTAGTACTATCCTAGACTAGACTATAATCAAGCTGGGGGCATGCCTGGTTGCTGCCTTCCATTTCTGGCTAAATAGGCCGGCCCACGTCATCAAGATTTTTCTGGGGAAATAAGTTCATTCTAAGTCCCTCAAGTTGTCACCCAGTCTGATTTTCGTCCTTACTCCGGA